ATGTGTGTATACACATACACAAAAATTAATGTAATGCAGTTTCAATTTTTAATTTAAAGGTACTTTTCCTTTATAGATGCATAAAAGCATATAAACTTAAAAAACTGGCCATTTCTTGTGACAGTTAATCTGTGAGCTTATTTGACACGCTACCATTTAGTTTATGCAAAAAATTTCAGATTTTTAAATTTATATTTCCATGATAGCTAATGAGATTGGGTACCTTTTTCATAATTCAAGTAACTTCTGAAATTCCTATTCAAGCCTATACCCATTTTAATGTTTGATCATCTGCCTCTTCTTGGTTTATAGAAATTTTAAAATATGTTCAGGATGCCAGTACTTTTATTATGGTGCCTATTTTTTACCGTTCTATAGATTGTTTCTTATTGCAGTCAGAATGACTAGCTTTTTTTTCTTGCCTGGAGCTCTGACAAGGCAGGCATCCACTTCTAGCTCTCCTGTGTAATGTGGCTGTTTCTGAACATAATGTGGCCAAGCTAGCCCCAGTTAAGATTCTGACTTCTTGACACAGTATTCCAAAAGACCACGAGCAAAGCCAGAGCCTCTCTGAGGTTGATATGCTATTAAGAGGTTTTCCACTGGGCTGGTGAAAATAGTAATTGTTCCCAGTTTAGAGCTTGTTCCTGTAATCTTTGCAGAAGATTCTTTCCCTGGATTCTGACTGTTTCTCACATGATTATGCTGATCAGTATTCAGCCAAAGCTCAAGAGCAAGCCTCTGCAACCCTGTGGAGCATCCATCCACTGTAACTCTTTCCACTAGTCTGTTCCACCAAATCCACTGCATTTACCTGCCCAAATCTTTCTCCTTGTTGCAGAATGCACCTAGAGCTTACTTTAATCAGATATGGTAAGATGATAGATATGCAGACAACTGCCTTTGAAAGAAGAGGTTATTGCTTACAGTTCCCAGTACTGGATATGCCACACCAGGTAGGGCCACACAATGAGCACTCCATTGAGTCAGAAGGAGGCAGAAGGGACACATGACCCACAACCTGTATTGTGTGTTCTACAAGAAGGAATGGGTGAGGCAGGCTAAGCACCAGGGCAGGTCTGGGATTGCCTGTTTTGAATAATTTCAAAAGTCTCTGGACTCTTGGGGTGATCCCTCATTGCCTGGTACCTAGCTCTGAGGTGATTTCAAGTGGAGGGAGGGTATGACGCTGGCCTGCTGAGTCAGAGTTTTCTAGAGGAGATAGCTGGGATTTGAGGCTTTGATGGATTGACCTGCATAGGAAAGGTGTGTTCACATAAGAGTATATGTCTCTGACCCACTGACTAAGCGACTAGTAGTGAGTGCCTTAATTAGACATCCTCCAACCTCAATAAGGCCATCTTTATAACACCGAGCACTGTAAGTGCGGTAGAAAGGTCACCTGGAAATGTGTGATGACAGATGCAGCTCTGTGGGCCATGTGAAAGCCTAACTTTGGTCTGTGGCAGTCATGGGAGGTGCCCCCCAAGGCCCCACATCTGTGCAGTTGAATTCTACTGCTTTGAAACACTAAATGTGTGGCTCAGTGCCTTGTATTTGGTGTTCTGTTAATAAAATTTTGCAGCCAAGAAATATCTAAAATTCAGCCAATGTTACTAAAATGATTTCTGACTTTAGACTATAAAACAGAACAAAAAATCTTCCTCATGAAATTTGAGATATGTCATCAGTTTCTGTGAAACAAAAATGTTTTCAGAGATGGAAAGTATAATCTGTTAATGAAGACTTCTGATTTATAAAAATAGCAGCCAGCATGTTTAAATTGTTTATTTCCAAAAATCTCAATTGTGAAAATCTCAAGTGAATTTTAATTTCAAATGGAAATAACTTCATGTCGCTCCTCTGCTTCTAAGTCGGATGGAGTAAGAAGGACCTCATTTGCCCTCTTTCCTAAAACAACTGAAAAAACAAATAAAATATATGAAAACAAAAGTTTTTATGACACCGCGTATTGAACAATGAAGAGACAGTGATTCTGAGAAAAATGAAACCAATGAGTTGAATTTTATAATACCCTTTGTTTATTGTTTGAAGCTTCCAGGCTGTTGTGTGGGGAGGGGCAATATAAGCAGAGCCTTTTCTCTCTTGAGTCAAAGAGTTTATTAATCGTGTTTTTAATTCTCTATATACTATGATGGATTGGCATCTTAGGGGCCTTGCTGGCCAGGGTAGGCTGCCCCTCCCAGGGTCAGCCAAACTTTTGAGACAAAGACTCCTCTGTGAATACACCTCTCCTGTGCAAGCCAGCCTACCCACCAGAAGCTTGCCAGACATCTCTTGTGCCTCTTTTAGACCCACCCATGTCTTATTTTAGACAGCCCTTAGCCTATAGAAAAGGAAGCTTATGAATGAATTTGCTAAAGTTAATGAGCTCTTTGTGTGTATTGCATATATTCTAAGTGTTTCACTGTTTTTGTTTTTGCTTTAATATAGCTAATGCTGCCTACCTTGGAGGCCAAGAAATGATGCAAGTGGTGAAGAGAGATGACGAGGTCATAAAGGAACATTTACCTAAGGTAACCATGTTAGGGCTGAAAGCAGATCATAGATGGGCAGAACTACTGAGGATGCAAGACTTGAATTAGCTAGAAACTGTAAGAGCTTGAGGGCTTGTAGATTCAGAGCTCCTCTAGCTCAAATTAATGTTATCTTTAAAAGTTACATAGAGTAGGTAAAGCCGATTACAGCTACTTAAATATACTGTGCCACCTGCTTTGTTGAATTTATTTTTAAATTCAACACTTTCCTATTTTGACAATGTATTATACTGAGAGGTCTTGGTATCTATAGAGTAAGTGAGTTATTTTGAAACATAATTAAAGCCATGTAAAAGAACTAACATATGACCTGACAACCAGTAAGCCTGTCTTTCTCATTCTCCAATACATTGGAGTAAGGCTGTATTGTTCTGACATAAAAAGTAGTTTTCTGAAATATCAGAATGTATTTCGCACCTACACGTGCTAGCTCATGCACAAATATATTTGGAAGATGCAACTCTGAAGCTGTAAGGCCCCCATGGTTTGCTATGTGTCTAAACATTCTAGAGTGTGTGTAGCTGTGGCACTTCTGTGACATCATTTGCCTACTTGTCCATCCTGAAGAGTGTAGAGCTGCACCGTGTGGTTTGGTTTGGTCATACCAAGGGCCTTGGTCATGTTAGGGACAAGTGCTCTGCCACTGAGCTTTGCCCCCCAGTGCAGAGCTACCCTGTGTAAATTCCATGTCCACTCACCTCATGAGGTTATTTGTAACTAGTTTGAATTGATATGTACTATAAGACTAAATACACACTGAACTTCAAAAACTTAGTACCTGGTACTCGATATAGATCAATGGTAGTGTGCTTGCCTAGTATATATAAAACCCTAGGTTTGATCCTTAGCACAGACAAAAACCATTAGTATCTAAGAAGGAAAATATTTCATTAATATTTTTATGTTGATTACATGTTGAAATGATTTTAGATATATATATATTAAAATATTTTTATATATTTAAAGTAATATCATTCCTTTTTACTTTTTTAACATAATTACTAGAAATTTCTCAAATCGTGTATGTGCTTTGCTTTTTGCTTCTGTTAGATAGCACTAACCCAGAGCTTTACAGTTGATGTGGAACACTGACATCTGCTGGGTACAGTAAAATGATCCCTGCTGGATGGCTTACTCTTACATGGCTTAGGGACCTACAACCTGAGCTAGAATCTTAGATACCCCTCTGGATTTAGAGTCTCTTCATAAGCTTTGAGACATAAACTTACCCATATTGTTAATTCATATTTCTATAACCACCCAATAGAGTCTTCTGAAAGCAAACATTGTATATGTTGTATAAAAAAAAATTCAGAATATTGAAACTATTCACTCCAACAGGACTTATGCCTGTAGTGGTGAGTACATTTCTTAAGCAGCATTTGTGTAGCGATAGAAATTTTGAACCAGAAGGAAGCTGTCACTGACTGAATGGAGACGGCTGGGGTCTTAGGAGGACATGCTTTCCAGGGCTCTGAACCACTTCTAGCAGTGAGGGGTAGGAAAACACCAGGAAACCATATTTTATTTTTTTAGTTAAATCATAAGCAAGTCTGTTTCAAAACTGCATTTCAGATTTCCAGGTTGGAAGTCCATAAAAACAGTTCAACTCCCACTTCATAATAAGATTGGCAAATGCTTACTTCCAAAACTCACACTTGCTGAATGGCTAGACCCATCATGTTAGAGCCCATCTTAACCAGCTGGGGAAGCCAGCTGCTGTAAAATACTCATCATTCTAGATCCTGTTTGTATGCTGTACTCAGAAAAAGGTCAAAGAAAGGTGCTAACTTATTCCTGCATTGACTTAAATCCATATGCAAGTGTAATCATTCCCAGACAGAGATCTATTCCCAGTAACTTGGTCAGGGCTAGAGGTTTCCTGAAATTTTCTTGAGAGAAACCTGAGTGTATAGTGGTAGAAAGTAGACAGCTCAAGGTTAGTATTAACACAGTCACTGGAATAAACTTTCCAACTGTAGGATATAATTTTGTTTCTAAGACAAAATTAAATGGACTTGTAGAATTTTGAGGCAGCAAAGCATTGTTTAGTGTAATGGTACACAGCTATCTTGGAGTCAGTTCACTGATCATGCTTTCTATTAGCTAAATTTGAGCTCTCCACTTAGATAATACTGTTCTAACTCCTAAGTAAAACTGTACAGAGAGACAGGGCATTTATTGCAGCTTTTTGTTTCTGTAAGGAAAAAAGAAGAAGCATGATATAATTTAATATCAATAAAGGTTGAATCAACACAATGTATCCCAGTCCTATTAGAAGAATAATGTAAGTTGGCAGGGCACATAGTTCTAGGAAGAGAGTGGGCATTGCCTCCTGCCTTCCAAAGATCCCTGGCAATCTGAAAGCCAATTCCTAAGATTGGAAACTTTAGACATCTGTTCAGGATACGTTCTCCCTTTTTCTACCTACACAGAGGTATTCAGAAACTTCCTATCTGTTCACACTGTCTAGTGTGAAGAGTTTTTGAACCACACATTGTTACAAAATATATTCCATATATCTGAGTTATTCAGCTTAAAACAGTTATGAAAAGTGTATCTTTGTACCATCTAGCCAGGAAGCCACAGAAAAACTAGTCTAAAAGTACTCTGCCAAATCATGCAGAAAGCTTTCTGACTCTCCTACCCAAATCAACAGGCTTTGGTTTTAAAGCTAAATTCAAATTTTCTGCCACTGATTTCACAAAGAGCAATATTAATATTCTTGAGAGAAATTGACCGTTTTAACTCTGCAATGTTCTAGGCCAACTGACTATCTTGGAATGTCTGGAGACTTTGTACCCAGTATTAGGAAGTCTTCAGTGATAGTGCCTGTTCTTTCCAGGAGCAGATGGAGTCATAGTTATTTCTAAGAGAAGACACCATGGCTGAGACAGCAGAGGTCATGTTGTCTCTTCACCTAACTAAATCCTACTTGCCTTTTAACTTGGCTTCCAGTGTCATCTCTAGGAGGCTTTCCTCAGCCCCTCCCTCCCCTGGGCTCATGTTACAATATTCCATTTGTCACACAGAGGGGAAAAACCTATATATTCATCCCAAGAACCCCTAAGATCCAGCACAATTCCTAGTACCTGGTAAACAACCAGTCATACTGAATAAATGGATGGAGAGTCGGATGGAGAAGCCTTTGTAGAGTATAAAGTCTGTTAAAATACAGTTTGCAAATTATTTTTAAACTAATTTGTGGTTTAGCACTATGTGCATCTTTATTAACACATTGAATAGCAAGCTGAAATGACAGTCAGAATTACTACTGTAAATTTGTAGTGCTGAATATAATTCAGTTTTTAGTTAGCTATAGTAAGCTTACTGTGATTGAAAATATATTTTTATAGGTGAATATATATAGATAATACTTGGTTTATTGCCTATATTTATAAGTGAAAGAAATATTAAGTGATAATTAGAGGTTAATAACAATAAAGATGTAGATTTTCCAAGGTTTACATAGCCTACACCCCCAACCCATGGACCTACATGGGAATAGACTCCAAATGTAGAAGCCTTGCATTGGGAAAACAGAAGAGGCCTAGGCAGCATGGTTTGGTGGTTTGGGCACTGGCCTAGGAACACACCATGATGTGCTATACTAAACGATTAAGTTGTGGGGAGCCATTGAAGGGTCTAAGCAAGGGGGCAATAACCAGGACAATATTCAAAATATCTGGCAACCATGTGATACAGCCCCTGACCAATCAGAACATATACCAGCCACCAATAACCACTTCAGTGTTCCCAGTACGTATCAGTTATCCCTATAAATATGACAGAATTAACAGGTAAGAGGGATAACTTGGGGTAAAGTGTTGTCAGAATGTTGGGAAATGGTGAAATTGTAGGTGGCCTTGCTAGTTACAGAGCTTTTAGAAGAATGAATACAGTGAGGCTGGAAATGAAAAGATTTAGGAGGTAGACTCAAAGGCACTTAAGTGCAGGCAGCATATTAGCAAATGGAGGTGCAGGAATCTGGATTTGTGATACAGGAAGGCATACAGGAGCAGTGGCCTCTCATTGTGGGAGATGCTTGGTACTTGTGTTGGTGATATCTGTGGAACATATAAGTGAATACATGTCTGGGTGCATGATGTGACGCATAGGAGTCTGGGCTCAATTTTGATTTGGGCATGATAGGCCTATAGTTGAAGCCATGAGCATGGATAGTGGTGACCTGTGGACATGTGCCATATAAGGAGAGAAGCATCCAAAGACTGGTCCCTGGGGAAGCCAACTTAACTCTTAGGGGAGAGAGGAGCCAGTGAATAAGCTGGGAATGGAGAGGGAGGGGTATGAGATGAGAACGTAAGTGGAGTAAGCCGAGGGAAGAAATCATCTGTGCATGTTCACCACTCCCAGTTTGTATGGGAGCCTCTGGGGTCTGCTGTGCTGTTCGAGGCACCTGGTTTATCTGAGGCAACAAGGAGATCAGCATCCCCTTGTTCTGTCATTGCTCTAAACTATAAGGGGATACATGTCTCATTCATAGAAAAGTGAATTAGTGTTTGGTTATAAACTTAAATTTTCATTTAAAACTCACTTAGGGAAATTCTAAAGTGCCGTGACCATCTTTGGCCCAAGCTTATGGAAACAGACTGAATCTGAGCATCACTGTCAGTCCACAGGAGTTTGTCCCCAAAGAGAGCACAAGATCGGTGGAGTGGGGGGAAGGGGAATAAAGTAGTCCTGCCTCTGCCCTCCGCAGTTTGTGGCTTAGGAACCCTCAGGAAAGGATCCCTGTGCCCTAGCTTTATCTCTGTCCTCTACTTACCCTGCCTTAGCCAGGGGTGCATGCTGCTTATGGGAACAGCCCTTGCATAGTGCCGACATTTGCAGAATGGCCATGCAAATCCTTCTGACATGCACACGTCCTGCTTGGCAGAGCATAGGAAGTGCTCCCTGGACCAGCTAACCAGGACTGCCTTTCCGCCGAGCCCTACTCTGAAACAGATTGTGTTAGTTCT